CCCCGCCGCTGCTGCCGTTGCTGCTGCTGCCGCTGCTGTCGCGGCTGCTGCCACCCCTGCCGCTGCTGCCGCCCAGCTGCTGCCGTTGCCTTGCTGCTGCTATGGCTCAGCCGCTTCACTTCTTCTTCTCCGCAACCTCCGGCTTTGGGAACGCCGGCGGCCGAGGCGGCGGGGGGATGAGTCCGGCCTTACTGAGCAAGAAGGTGACGCGGTCAGAGGGGTGGGCGCCATTGCCCATCCAATACCTTGAGAGCAAGAGGACAGGGGGGGGGGGGAGTAGGGGTTAGGTGGGTGGGGCTCGTCCAGGGTGGAGCACAGGGATATTGTGGATGCACAGGTCTCACACCAGAACAGCCCGAGGCTGGGCTGACCGTTTCAAGGGCTTGATATCACAATAATTGTCACTGCGCCTGCACTGGTCGGTCGTCGATCTGTTCTGAAACAGGTGAGGCACGACGCCGCGTCGCGCAGGGCGGCAGGTCGCGCAGCTGCGAACCCCCCAGCCGCGGCCGCCGCCACGCACGCACGCGACCCGGCGCGGCTGTGCGGGGCCTGCGCTGGCTCACTTGATGCGGTCAAAATTAAGGCCGAGGTGCTTGTTGCCGTCGGGCGCTGGAGGGGGACCGCAAGGGCAGGAGGGAAGGAGCGGCCGTTGCTCCCTGCCATCGTCATTGTTCCATGCCCGCCAACTGCCAATTGGGGAACTCCCTAGCGGAGAAATTTGGCCTGGTAGGCACGGACAGGCGGTTTCCCAAGCGAGCGGCCGCGTGTTTGCATGCGCCGCCAGTTTCAGTGAGCTTATTCATGAGCCTCACCTGGGTGGGGGTCGTACCACCCGACTTGCTCCAGGGGCCGCCCGTCTCGCTTTGACCTTGCCTCCGCCACCACAATCCGATAGAATGGCAAGTTCTGCAGCGCCGGGAGTGGCGGCAAGAAGAGGGAAGGGGCCGCCAAGTACGGGTGTGATGCAGCACACATGCTTTCGCGCGGCGGCGGCGCATACAGCTGTTCTCCCCATTGAGCGACTTTGTGCGAGCGATGCTGCCATTGCCACCAGGCGCACCCGGCGACCGAAGCGTGCTAAACGTATTCTGAGCACCATGGTCGTCCTCTAGAGCCTGGCCCGGACCCGGCACGAGTTGATCTGAGCTGGAGACAGCTGTGACAGCTGTGAAGTACAGCGCTTTTTAGACTGTCACTAGCGCGTCCCCTGCTAAAAGCTTGATTCACGACAGTACTAGCAGAGCGATCTGATGGAACTGTGCCATATCATGACAAGGAAGCCAAAGGTTGCGTTCAGAGGATAGTGAAACCAAGCACACGATAACGTAGGTGTCAATGGCGGGGCAGGGCTCAGTCCAGCACTTCCTGGACCGTTGACCGCTCGGCTTGCAGCCTCACCAGTTTCCTTGTTGCGCTGAGGTGACGCCCGCCGCGTAGCTTTTGGTGGCGCATACGCAAGATTTAGCTGTTACTCTCGTTGGCTGTGCATGATGCACACCTGGGAGCATTGGCTGGGCGTTTGCAGCCAATCATGTGCTGATCTGACACCGCAGGCGGTGCTGGACAAGGTAGCTCTACTGGCCTCAATAGATTTTTGGGCTTTTTTTAATGGGGCCTGTTATACAGTCTGGGCATCAGAGGCCAGAGTCTGCCTGATTCCCCACCATCCCCCGCAGTACGGTACAGTGTGCACCTGTATCCCCTTCACCTCCAGACCTGCCAACGACACAGACAGCAAATTGAAGGACTTGATTAATTCCGGCCTTCTTGGGGCTTTTCACCCGACGCACACCGCGAAGACTGTACAAGCTCATACTACGGTACGTAAACTCCAAAGGATTGTTTGGAAGCGACGAAATAGTTCATTCGAGACATGAGCAGTTGACAGAAAGCCCTTCCAGCATGTCGGTGCCGTGGGATGCGCAGCGGAGCGTTATCGTAAGCTTACAAAGCCGAGGCGGGGTGTCAGGCATGTGAAAAAGCCAAGTTGTGCATAGACCATAGCATCAGCAAGACTGGTGTGAACAAGTGCTGTAGTAAGGTCCATCACAAATCATGAAACCATGAAACCGCTGCCTGTTGAGACTCGTTTGTTTCGCTTTCCACGCGGGTCGAGCCACGAAAGATATACCGTACAAATATCTCATTGAAACGTATCTAGCCTACCTTCGACCTTCCTCGAGAGCGATCACAGCATCAACGACCAGGATGGGTGGTGAGTCCCACACCAACGAAGGCGGTTCGAAGTATGAAAGGGTCACTAAGAGCATGAAACCGCATACATGTAAGCTCGCGGCTGAAGGCACATCGCGCAGCGACATGCACCATTCGCTACTGCCTGCCCAACCCTGATTTCGCGCTGCCCGCTCCTGCCCGCGCAGCCTGCACTTCAAAGGTTGGCGCCACCGACGCCGCCGCCGCACCCGTCAAGGACCCCGTTCTGGCGGAGGTGCAGGCAGCTGGCGCCCTCGCCGCCAAGGTTGCCGCTGTCCTAGATGCCGCCCCAAGCGCCAACGCTGAAGTCGAGGCCCATGCTGCTGCCGAGCCTGCCGCCGCTGTGGTTCCCGTGGAGACAGTTGGCGAGGTGGCTGAGACCGCCGTGCCTGCTGAGGCCCCCGCTGCTGAGGAGCCCGCTCCGGTCGTGGCAGCCCCTGCTGCCCAGGAGCCCGCTGCGGCCGAGCAGCCTGCAGAGGCACCCAAGGGGGAGGAGGGGGCGCAGGCGTGAAAACACATGAGACGGAGTTCCATGGATGGCACCTGGCCCCTCTGACTGTTTGCTGCAGGCCAGCATCCCTTGCATCAGAATGTCATGTCGATGATCTTGCACTGTTGCCGGTAGCCGCGGGACCCGACTGCGTTGCGGTCTGTGACGAACCACGAATCTCCCTCAAACCAGCTTCTGCCCCAAACACCGAATAATCGAGTCACCACTAGCATCTTCCGCCGCACACCAGCTTGGCGGCCAGTCAAGACTTGCAGCGATGTGATAATCGCACACCACAAAAAGTGTCATTGGCACAGCGCATACAGCGCGTTCATCCCGTAATTGTGCGCTGATCCTGATGGCGACGTTGCCGCCACCTGGCATTGTTGACGCCTGTACTAATGCCCTGTGAACTGGGCTTCAGGAGATCGTGCAGGCGTGAGGCGTGTAAACCTATGTCATTTGCGGCTGTGATTTGTTGCTCTTGGCACGGTCAGCTGCTGCACAGAGACCTGATGCACCGATCCCCGCGGCTGCCACGCCTGCCAGCCGAGCAGGTGCTTTTGCCCGGACTACCAGTCGGTATCCATCAGGGGCCCCCCGCGGCATTGAATAAGAAAGCTCTTGCTGCACCACGCACCCACCCCAGCATGCAGATCTGGAAGCTGGCAGAGTGAGCGTCAAAATTACAGAGACGATTGAAAGATAGGGGATACAGGGTAGGCAGGGGTGGGGCCAGATGTTTGAGCATACAGACTTGTGCAGCCGCCGAAAAGGCGACTAGATGAGTCGCGTCAGGGTCATAATGAGTATCAGTGTCCATGCAGTCGTGTAATGCGATCGCTCGCTCGCCACCCTTTCATATGCCACACCGATCCGCTCAAGGCAGCTCTGTGACGGTGCTGGGGCCCGTGGTGCCGGGAGGACCACCCTTCGCAGCCCAGGCAGCAGGGGCGCATACGGCCGAATGTGGTCAGGCTGGCACGTACCCAGAGGAAGCAGGGGGCCAGCGGCTGCCCTGCGCGATGCATGTGTCAGCCGCGTGTCTAATGTCCTCGCAGGCGCCACCACCCGCCCTCCGTGCGCCTGCGAGGAAGCCGCGCCTGCGTCGCAGCGCAACACCCAGGGTGCTACTCAGAGCGGCCGCTCGCCCCTGATGCGGCGCGCCAGCTGGATGTCTTTGACGAACAAAGTGATGCGCCTGGCGTGGATGGCGCACAGCTGCGCGTCCTCCATCAGGCCAGTCTGCAGGGCGGCAAGCACGCGGGTGTGGGGCTCGGGAGCTGCTACTTCACAATGCCAGCTGAAGGGTGCATTCGCCAAGGAGGGCGCGATCTGATAGCTCACAGGAGCTGTGCCAAGGCTGAGGCACCACGCCCTGCCCTCGTCTTGGCGTGCTGCATCACAGCTGCGATGTGGACCCCCTTGAGCCACTCCAGTGCTGCAGGACCCCCTCCTGCCACAACCCCACCCCACCACCCCGGCAAGCAAGGGCGGCCGTGGTCCGCAGGCTCACCAGGTACTGCTCAGCCGCCTCCTGAATCGCCTGCACCGCGGTCAGCTTGTAGCGCAGATCCTTCGAGTCGGCCACATTCTGGGTGACCTCCTTCACCTGGCGTGGTCGGCGTCGGGGGGAGGGAGATAGCGATGCGGCTCGCCGTAGCCTGGATCCAGAGCCGTCAAGGGTTGACAAGCGGGCGGCTCGTTGAGGTCGGCCCGGGGGCGGAGCCGCGGCCTTGCCGGTGGTGACGCGCGTGCAGGGGCGGCCGCTGCGTGCGGGCGCTTCGAGCGGCCGGCCGCCTGGCAGCAGCCAGGGCCGGGCTGCAGCCACCAGGACGGGCCCGGCGCAGCTGCAAGGGGGCCTTGCCTGGGCCCGGCGGCGCTCCCACGCGCTGAAACACATCCATCATCCCCTTACGCCGGCAGGAATGTTCAGAGGGCTCACCAGGCGCATGAATGGGGCCTTGGGAATCAGCAGGTCGCCCGTCTTCTGGTACTTCTTGATCTCCTACAGGGCACAGCACGCACAGAGCGGTGCGCAGACGCACAACTTCAGCATGGGACGATGAGTGGCAGGCACAGCTTGCGCATTAGCATGGCGGCAGGCCAGGGAGGTCGGAGTGGGCGCGGCGCAGGGAGGCGGGGAGGCATGCATGGAGGCGCGGCGCCGCCGGCCCAGCAAACGCAGGCGAGCGCGGGTGCTGCTGCGGGCCTGGGCGCGATGCCCGGGCCTCGACCGCCCATGTGTGGGGATCTGTGCGCAGCGTGCGGTCCTGCCGCCCTCTGCCAAGGGTGCCGTCCAGGCCGCCCCGCGCCGCCGCCGCTCCCTGTGCCTCGACGCTTGCCTTGAGCGCCTTGGCGCCATGGCGCGCCGGCCGCTTGACGCGCGGCACGGACTCCGGCACGCGCGGCGGCGCGGACTTCCGCGCCGCCTTCTTGATCGGCTTCTTGACGGCCACAGGTGTGATTGACTTCCTTGGGGCCAACTTCTTGGCTGGCAGGGTCGACTTGGCACCCAGCAGCTTGCTCTTCTTGCTGGTGGTCGTCGATTTGCGCGCAACTTGCTGCGGGCAAGCACAAGCCGGTGCGCGCGCGGCCGCGATGCAGATATCAACTCCGCGTTGGGCCGACCTCGCCAAGCGCTTGTGCAACTGAGGCATTGATTGGCGGTCCTAGCCGAGCGGAAGGCGCAGGCAGCGCTGCACCATGCGCTGCGCCAGGGACGCGCCAAAAGCGCCATGCGAGTGGGCACAACACATGCCGAGCTGTGCAGAAGTAACCCACGCCTATTCCAAAACAATCTTGATTGGAGTGCCGATGAAGCACCTTCCCGGGCATGCTGAGGCTTCATAACACCCCGGTGCGCTGTGGCTGGTCGCAGAGATCGCCCAAGGCAAGCCCCCACGTCCCACGTCCATCAAAATCACCTTTGTCCGCGCCATATTGGGCCTCCTGGCCCGCTACGGGCCGGGGTGACTACCTCGTGTTTCGAATGCTGTGTTGTTCGCAGTATAATGTCTTGCTTGTTCTTAAAAACTTGTACGTACAGAGAGTAATGACGGTGCTTCGATTCCTTAAAGTATTGCCTGATTATTGTTGTCGATCGTGTGATCTGATCATTGTCGACGGCTGTGGCAGCTGGCTACCCCCACATAGGCGACAATGCTCCTGCGCCAGGCACCCTCAGTAGCTTGCGGTAGCTCCCGGGCGGCTCGGCACCAATGGTCGCGCACGCCGGCGCTCGCCGTGCACGCAGCCAAGAAAGGCGGTAGCGGCGGTAAGGAGAAGAAGGGCGGCCAAAAAAAGGGCGGCGGCGCGCTGGCTGGACTTTTAAAGAAAAAGGCCGAGGGACAGGGGGCCGCATTGGAGGAGCTCGCCACCCCCGCACAGGTGCGGGTTCGGGGGGACACGGGCGGTTGCTTGGAGGACCACGCTCCATGCTCGCCCTCGCCGCAGGCGGCCGGCAGTGCCAGGCGTCACCACCTCACCCCAACCAAGCGAGCCGGTCGGTCAGCAGCCCCCACAACCGGCCCGTGACTGCCCGCCTACCGTGCCTGCAGTACGCTGACCCCGAGATCAACCTGCTGCTGCTGTCCATCTGCCAAAGCTACTGGAAGGCCTACAAAGAGTGCGCATCCCTCATCAGACGCAGGAGCATGGGCCCCGAAACACTACGCGCATGCACCCCACGTCACAGGCAGCTGCGGGGCCCGCACCGCGGCGGCGGTCGAGCTCGCACCCTGGCCTTGCGTGCATCGCCAGCCGGCCCCGCCCATCAACGCCCCCATCACTCCACCCCCAAACACCCCGCACTGCAACCAAACAGGTACCTCATAACCGTCGACCTTCAGCACCTAGCAGAAGCGATTTACAAGGCACCCTTTGTCTGCCTGGCCCACAACAGCTTCGAGGACGGCGTGGACGACCCCACCTTCGTGTACGCGAATCGCGCCGCGCTGCGGCTGTTTGACGCGACATGGGACGAGCTGGTGGGGGCGCCCTCGCGCATCAGCGGCGACGAGTCGGTGCAGGAGGTGCGGCGGGCCCGGCTGGGACCGCGCGCACAGCGCGCCGCTTTACAATGGACTGAGTAAGAGGTGGAGGCCGTCAAGTCGAATTTTTTTCTGCACGCTTGAGGAGGTCACGAGGGCCCGCCTGGACAGTTGTAGGCGCTATGTAGAGCGTCGCGGCGCGCAGCCGAGGAGCCGAAGGCAGCCGTGGCAGCGGCGCCCTGGCCGCGCCCTGGGACAAGGCTGCGCAAGGGACCAGCTGGGACGGCGGCTGGCTGGGCCCTTTCTAATTGCCTCCAGCAGCGTGCCCAGGCAGCCTGGGCAGAAAGGGGATTCCAATTGCACCTGACGCTCCTGGGCAGTGGTCCAGGCAATCAGCAGCGCCGCCCCGCCCCTTCCCGCACCCCTCGCCCCCGCAGGAGCGCAATACTCTGCTGCAGCAGGCCGCGGCCACCGGCGCCGTGGAGAACTGCGAGGGGTGGCGGCGCTCGCTCAAGGGGCGCCGGTTCAAGATCAAGGGGGGGCGGCTGTTCAACGTCTCCGAGATCACTGGGGACCTGTATGGTCAGGCCGTGGTCTTCTCGCAGTACGAGGAGGAGGTGAGGGCCTCAAGATTACCGGCCGCTCGATCTGGTGTGATCTGAGATCAACTCTCCACCTGGATGCTCATGTCCGGGCGACGCGTGCTGGCGTCGACCAGGTGCTGACGGGGACGGTGGTCGCATGAAAAAAATGCTGTTGCTAGCAATGCTTGTATCGATTTTCGACTGGCTTCTACGTGGCGGCCGCGTGCGTCCCTGCAGGATGGGTCACTGGTGACCGTCCAGGGTGACGCGCCGCCAGCTGTCGAGCTGCCGCCCACTGAAGAGGACCTGGCGGCTGCGGAGGCGGCGGTGACAGAGCAGGGCGCGGCGGTGCGGGCGCTGAAAGAAGAGCGGGGGCTGACAAACCAGGTGTGTGGGGCGTGACGGCGTGACAGCGGGCCTGCAGTCGTGTCGCAGGCCAGGGAGGCGGCCGTGGGCCGAGACGGTAAGGCTTGCAGCGACGATGCTGCTGTGCAGCGCGCCTCGCGCCGCGGCTGGTCGCAGTCATTCCATGCAGGGCGCTGAAGTGCATCCTGCAGTCGCCCGGGAAATGCAGCTGTCCGCCCGTCACTCCACCTGACCGCTCGCCCCGCCCCACAAATTGCAGGACCCCGAGGTGGTCGCAGCCGTGGCGGAGCTCAAGGCGCGGAAGGAGGCGCAGGCGGCGCTGCAGCGGCGGTGGGAGGACATGGTGGGCAGCACCATAGAGAGCCTCGAGGAGGACGACGAGTGACGAACTGCCTGGCCGGCTCTGCCGGAGGTGCTGACGGGGCCTGGTGCCTCACATTACTGTCGGCCTGGCCGGCTGGCGCTTCATGGCTGGCGGGCGTGCTGTCAGGGCCTGGGATCTCAAACCAGTATAATGAACGAGCGGCAACACTATTGGGCGCACGACAGGTTCTTGGTGTAGGGTTACAAATGTTTATCGGGTATGCGTCAGGAAGTCGAAAGACCCAAGGTTGTGTTTGCACAAAAGTGTTCAGGTGAGCACAAGTTCTGGGGAAAGAAGTGTGGAAAGCATTGAGGTGGGCGCGTGGTGCAGCAGGAGCCGCTCGTTCAGCATGCAAGAGGCGCGGATTGATTCCTAAACTGCTGTCCACCCGTTTTGGCCATTGAAGGGCACGCGCAAGAGACACTCAAAGAGTTGCGTGTGCGCAACTCGTGTCGTGACCATTGACGCGGCAGTTTGTGGTGTGTGATGGTGTGCCGGCAAAGCCCCAGTCAAGTGTGCTGTCGAAGGTACCCGACCGAACCCAAATGGAGCACGCACGCTGACCTGGCTGGCGCGCTCAAAACGTGAGGATGGCGCAAACACCCTTGTCAGCAATACAGAATGCGTTAAATCCCCTTTGAGGCCCTCGCGTGTCGCTGCGGGCCGGCGCCAAATGGCAGGGGCAGTTTGCAGCCCGCGCGGCGGCGCAGGGCAAGCCCTTGAGAGCCGCAAGAAAGAAACGCCACCGCTACTCTAGGAGTTTGAGAGGCACCAACACCATCTGCAGGCCCCACGCTGGACATTGCATGGCGGCCATGCCCGTGCCATGAAGCTTCAAGCTTCATCAAATTGCTGTCGGCTCAGATGAACCGAATGGGCTTGAGGCCGGGGAATGTGACACCCAGGCTTTCGTGGTAGATCTCTGCAAACGCGGCGTAGATGGCGCTGAGGCCGCAGAACGCGCCAACATAGCCAGCGGCGTGGTTGACGGTTGGGCTGTAGACGCCACCCGCCAGCAGCCAGAAAGTGGTGGCTAGGCTGCCAAAGACCTGGAGGAAAAGGGAGTTGACATGGAAGCGGTTCAGTTGAAGGGAGCGCCGTTGTTAATTTCATTCGGCAAATATTCTGCGATGTTTGCATGCCAAGATCACGTGAGATCCTAAGAGGATACAATGTATACATGGGATCACGACTAATGGTCCAGGACAAAGAGTGTCGCGAGTCCCCATCCGTGGCGCTGGCGCACGCCGCACGCGCAGCCCCGCGCGCGTCCGGTGACTCACCACCATGAGGCAGCCGTTCTTGCGCAGCGTCGGCACGAAGAAGCCGAACGTGAGGAACCCCCAGGCCGCCCGCAGGATGCACTCGCCGACCTTGAAGCCGGCGTCGGGGGTGAAGCCCAGGTCGGGGTGCAGGCGGGTCATGGTCTGGAAGAAGGCCCAGGAGATCCAGAAGGAGCCGTACGAGAAGAAGGCTGAGCCGGCAAAGGTGTTGCCCTTGAGCAGCTGCTTGGGTTGGGGTTGGGGGTTGTGTGGAGTTGCGTAAGCGGGGAGGAGCATGGTTTTTGTGAAGTGGGTGGCCTCATCAGGAGAGGCGGCCGGGGCTTGCCTTCCGGGCGGGCAGGGCGGCGGCATGCATGAACTGGTGAGCATGCGCCGCATGCTGCAGGCATGCACGCACGTGTGGGCCCATGCAGATTTGAGCGACCTTCCGCGCAGTGGGGCGTGCGGCACTGGCTGCTTGCCGGCCCGATTATTTGCCACGGGGCTGGCCGAGCGTCGCTGCAGGGCCGCACCTCTAGCACGCCGGCCACCATCTGGGCAAAGCCGCCATAGGCAAAGGCGTAGCCCATGACGCTGCCAACAAAGACCTTGGAGGACCAGAGGCTGTCGACAGTCATCAGGAAGAACGTGGTCATGCCGAAAGCCAGCAGGCCTGGGGGGTGCGCACGCATCGGCGCGGCAAGTCAGCAAGGGGACGCAGCAGCGTTGGGCCATGCACGTGGCAATCTCAAGGCCATGCCAGGTCTGCATGGGATAAGATGCACCATATGAATCAACTTGCGGCTCCCTAAATGGCATGGAGGGGCCAGGTGCGGACTGCAGCGGCCTCGCACCCAAAACACGACTCACCCAGCGGCGCCGGGTTGCCGATGGCGGCGGACCAGACAGGCTGGGGGGACGGCTCAGGCGAAAAGTTGCCACCCTCTACGTCCGTCACGGCGCGCGTGTCTTTCACCATGGCTGCTGCTGCGTCTCGGTGTTGGTTCGGGTGTGCTGTCGAAGGGCCTGTGTCGAAGGGGCCTGTGTCGAAGGAGCGTGCGAGCTTTTTGAAAGAACTTGTTTGTTTAGATATGAACGCTTCCGTATCGGAAGATGCCTGATATGCTTGCGTCAAACACGAAAATGAATTCCTCCGGGCGCACGTAGTTGCCTGTGACAGGTCAGGCCCAAAACATAGCGTTCGTCCCAAGCGGATGTGTTAAGAAAAGATTTTTGTTGCCTCCATCATCTTTTCTACGAGGAATGCTCGGTGGGCAGTGCGGCGAGAGCAGACCGGCAGTGCGCCGACTCATCATTTTTCAAAGCTATGATCGAACGCCTCGCTGCCGCCGCTCTCACAGCGCTTTGTGGATTCCAGGCAAACACTGGACAATCATATTCGCAGTTGCTTTGCATTCCTGTCAGCCAGTGCTGATGCTCAACACGGGCCTTCGGATGTGCCCTTGCAGCTCCATTGTGAGTGTGGGCATCCACGGCCACAACCTATGTATTGGTCCCAGGTTACGTAGGACTTTTTCCCAATCACCAAAATGACTGATGCCCCAGTTTCAAAGCGTCCGGTCAAGTTTTGTTAGGTAAAGCATTGGTGACACGAATCAGCCAGCTCACGCCTGCGTCCCTCGGCATCAGGGCTGCCACAAGTTGATGCTGATTACAAGTTCAGACATACAGGGCGATAATGTGCCTACTGTTGCACTGGGTAAGTGGCGGCACAGGTCAACTTTCCGAATGGGAGCCTCGAACCTGTTCTGTCTTGGTGGGATCGGCCGGACTGGTTCTGCTGCGGGTGGGCGCGAGGAAGGCAGGTGACGAGGAGGCACACCACTCACGCTATCGCGCAATTCACCTTCTTTTGTGTTGGGGTGTAATCCGCAAAGAACAGTCCTGCCCTGTGCCTGCCCCCACGCCAAGTGGATCGGTGTCCCCGCCGCTCTCAGGAGAGTCGGTGCAAATTGGCAGTGGCTCTCTTCTGCTTCACCAACTGTGACCGCAGAGGATAATAATTGCCTCTACATAACATACGTTGATATGGGAGTACCGTACTGTAGCGATCATTTCTCAATAATTTCCGACACTCCTCCGCTGCACAACACAAAGGGCGCGGCTCGTAGCAGGCAAGCATGATCGCAGCCAAGCTGGACTTCAGGATCCCGAAGGGGTCTTGCGCAGCATTGACAAGCGTAGCACCTCGTGTGCGCCGCCACGTCGCGGCTCGCTACCAGCCCGGCGACGCCCGCAGCGGTGACAGGCCCCAGCTGCGCGTCACAGAGGCCGACCTGCTCGACGGAATCCGGGCCGAGGTGCTCGGCGCGGCCGCGTCGACCTCTCAGTGCGCGCTGGACGAGGGCGCCGCGCGCGACGCGGCGCGCCAGCAGCTGGACGTGCTGACTGCGCTGCCGCCCGGCACCGCCGACGCGCTGCCGCCCGACACCCTCAGGGCGCTGCTGGCATCCCAGGGGCGCCTCGCGTACGAGTGCGAGCTCCGCCGCCGCGCCGCCGTTGCAACCGCGGCTGGTGCGGCGGCGGAGCGCGCGGCCGCGCGGCGGCGCGGCTCGCGCGCGATGCACGCCGCGCGGCTCGGCGTCTCGGCGTGCGACGAGCTGCTAGCGGGATGCCACGAGCAGCTGGAGCAGCGGGTCGTGGAGCCGCTCGCAAGGGGGGCTCCCGCAGCCGAGCGTGGCGAGGATGACGAGGCGCTGGAGTATGCAGAGTGCATCCAAGGCCTGCTGGAGGTGCGGCGCGCGCTGCTGGAGCACGCGGGCGGCGTGCAGCAGCTGCTGACTGAGGATGAGTCAGAGCAGGCCGATGAGGAGACGGGCGGCTGAATTGGAAGCTCAAGGAATTGACATTGTGCAGAGATGCCGTGCGGCTTTGCGGCAGGTTGTCGGGTGCGTTATCTTCCATAACCTGTTGTTGTTGTACAGTAGACAGTTGGAAGCTGCTGCTGCTGCCCGGCAGCAGCAGCAGAGAGCGGGCCGCTTGCTGTTGCTAGCTGTCTTCTCTATTATAGATGATTCTGTCGCTCAGATGAGGTTGTCTCAGGTGGTAACAGATGTGTCTAGCAGTGAGCGGGGTGTTGCATGGGAGCACACATGTCGGTTGATGAACCCAGGGGTGACGCTTGAACGGCCAATTGGCAGGTCTAAAGAGTTTGTCAGTGAATGCGACAAAGCCCCTGCATCCTAAGCAAGTACGCAGCGCACAATTTGCTTGTACCCCAGGCCAGGCAGTGTGGGTGAGGGCGAGCGCCCCTCAGGCAGGCAAAGTGGTGTGCCACATTCAAAAGACGCAGACGCTGGATGCTCGCTCGCACATCAAGTCCTCGGTCGGTGCAGGGTGTTGCTGAGGCAGCGCCACATTTGGCACCGCTGCAGAGCAAGATGCTGCTCTCGGGTGTGTCGGTCTAAAGGTGCAGGGGTGGATGCGACAGGCGTGTGCACAGGCACATGCTCCGCTGGCAGCCTGCACGAATCCAAGGCTGGAAAGAGAGGATGTGGGAAGCCGTATGTTTTGGCTGCGCTCTCGCAGACCCACTGAACAGGCCCGCCACCACCAAGGGGGGCCTGTGCGGCGAGCAGCAGGCAACAATGTGTGAAGGATGCTCTCAAGCAGAAGAGGGCGAGGCCTGATTTGAGGGAGCAAAGCTGACCTGGCCGTGCCATTCAGGGCAGGCACCTGAAGCTCGTGTGGGGAATACAGCTGCAGCTCACAAGGCGGCTTGGCGGCCCAGATTGGCAACGCCGGTAGAGCGGCGCCACAGGCCACTGGCCTGGCAATTCAGGCTCAGAGCAATGGCTCCTGTACGGCGGGCTGGGCTCGCTGCAGAGCTTCAAGCGATCACACCCCGACCCGTGGCGCACCCAGCCGCCTGGCACTGCGGGCCATCGTAATCATGGCCGTTGCTGCACTGCTCTTGGGCTTCTCATAGCAGCAGCGCCTCAATTTCCGCCAGCAAGTCCAGCAGCTGCGCCACAGCCTGAGGCTTGCAGGCGGCGTCCAGGCGGCGCCCCCAGTCCGCGTCGGCCGCCGCGCGTGCCAGCGCCTCGCACGTCCTCGAGTTGGTCGAGTCGCGCCGTGCTTCGAGGCGGATCGCTATCAGGGATGTGGCAGCCACGCTGGCGACGTTGTCTGCGACAAGGGTCACGGCGGGCTGCTGGGTGTTGGGCGCGGGTGCGACGGTTGCCGCAGCGCTGGCGGCCACGTAGGCTGTACGGCGGCTCTGGACATGCGTCTGTGCCACAGCCTGTGAGAAGGGCAGGGAAGTGATGACCACAGCGTCAGCTGGCCGATCTGCCTGGCGCTGCATCCGAGCGCGCATGGTGCACAACACAGCTCAGCTGCAGATGCAGCGGCACTGTGGCAGCCTCACGTGACGCAACGGGGGAAACAGAGCTACCTGCAGAGATTCATACTCACCATCTTCAGCACCCTGCCCTCGGCCCTCACGGAGCCTTGGTGTGAGAGAGTTGCCATTGATCTTGACCGCGAGGGAGACCGTGTACACAGTGTGATTATCGAAAACTATAACACAATAACCTCTTGTAAGACGACGCGGTGAGCTGGCAGCGGCTCAGGGCTCACTGCACGAGTACGGTAACAGCACCACTCGGGAATCTGTCTGATCGAGCACTCTGAATATCCTTGCCTTTGAAGTTAGCAAATGTGATTCACGATTGCTCCGAGCGCAAACTTTGAAGTGGGCCAGCATGCCCCAACATGCGCAGCTGCCAACCAGCTGCTGCACCCTTGATCGCCCTCACGAGTCTCTAGTGCCCGGGTCGCTTCCACTTCAACCGACCCAGGAAGACTTTGTGTGACCTCATATCATGTGCACAATCGCACCTGACCTTGAGCAGGCACAGCGGATCTTGTGGAGTGCAGCAGCCGACAGGCATGCGGGCAGTTGTTGCGCGCTAGTGCTGCGCAGCTCAGGGATGCATCAAATGCCTCAACCCCCGATGCGACATGACCCACATGGTCAGCCGCGTTGCGAATCCAAGCTGGCTAGCCGACCGGGCTGTTACACAAGGAGGGAAATGTGCGTGCCCCAGGTCACAAGACCCAGCCACCGCAGCAGGCGAGCTCTGCCAGCAAAGGCGTTCATGTCCAACTCGCCACGCCACCCCCGCCGGGCGCCGGGCCCCTGCTGCGAGCCCAGCCCAGCAAGCGAGCGGGGGTGAGGTCCAGATCATGCCAGGAAAGAGCGAGCAATGCTCCAACAATTTGCCTCGGGCAGGCATGCTCTGTCACAAGGACGGCAGGAGCCGCCTTTCGGGAACAGCGCGGCTGGCTGCCCGCAAAGAAAAAAACGCACCCGGGCGCATGCATGCGTGATGCTCGACCCCTGCGCACTCCTGCACCATGTGTCTGGATACTTGGGTGCAAAATTGGTCGCCGGCCGTCGGGGGGCGCGAGGTGTGACACGTCGCGCGCGCAGGGAAACGGGGCTGGGAGTGAGGTGGCGGGCCGTCCAATCATGCTGGCTACTTCGACAGCGCAAACCGGTGATCTGCGCCGCATGGTGGGGCCTCGCAGCGCACGCGCGCCGCCGGCACATCAGGCCCAGCTGCCGCGCAACACGCGGCCCCGCCCCGCTCCACTCCCGCCGCACCGTGGCCCCGCGCGCCACGCCAGCGACTGGCGAGCGGCGAGCTGTTGCGCGACCATCCCCGAGAGTACGGCCGCGTTTTTTCTGCGCCCCTCACTTCTTGTTCTTCTTTTTCTTATCGAGGGATGGCAGCCCCTTGGCTGCTGCCGCCGGCTTCTCTTCCTCCTTGCCCTTGCCCTCGCCCTTCTCCCCCTGCTTCTCGCCGCCCGCCGCCGCGCTCTGCTCCTGCTCGGCGGGCTCAGGCCCGAGGTCGAGCTCCGCCGCGTGCGTGTGGTTTTTGAGCGCGCCCCGCACGTCCGCGTCGCTGCAGGCGGCGGCCTTGAACAGTGCGACCGCCGAATCCAGCACGCCGCGCCACTCGGCCGCGCCCGCGGCGGCCAGCAGCTGGCTCCACTCGAAGAGCGCGTTCCCCTCCATGATCCGCGTCTGCGCCGCAAACGTCGCCTGCGGCTCCGGCGTGGCCGGGGCCGCGGCCTGCTGCTGCTCCTTGCCCGCGCGCCGCGCCGCGCGCCGCTCCTGCTCCTGCAGGCGCCGCGCGTCGGCGGCCTCGGCCGCCGCGACTGCCTTCTTGTACCACCCCGAAGCCGTGTCCATGTGCGCCCGCGCGGCTTCCACATCCTCCTTTTTCACCTTGGCAAGCGCCGCCCTGAGCGCCTCCGCCTGCGCCGCGGCCGCGGCCTCGACCGCCGCGCGCTCCGCGTCCGCGTCGGCGCCGGCGCCGGTGCCGGCGGCGGGCGGAGGGGGGGTGGGCTTGACGATGAGCTTGGCGCGCAGCTTGGCGCGTTCGAATTCGAGCTGGCCGAGGGCGCAGAGGCCGTCAAAGTAGTCGGGGTGGAACCCGAGGGCCTCCTTGTAGCGCGCCTGGGGGGCACACGTGTATGAGAGTGTGTGTGCGTGTGTGAGAGAGAGCACGCGTGTGTGCGTGTTGAGTATGTGTTGAGTGTGCGGGTGTATTGTGTTGTGAGGAGGAGCGTGTGTTGTGTGGAAATGTGTGTGTGTGTGTGTGTGTGTGTGTGTGTGTGTGTGTGTGTGTGTGTGTGTGTGTGTGTGTGCTACGTGTGCGTGTGCGCATGTGCGTGTGGTCGCATCAACATTGCAATCGCATGTCTATTTGACGTCGTTGGTGCACGACAACCTCGCCTTGAAGGAGGGGGCTGGCGGGCTACACAGGCGCGGCGATAGGGAGAGCAGCTTGGTGTGCGCACACGCGCCCGAGCGGTGGGCGTGGAGGTGTCCGCGGGGTGCATCTAGCTTGCGCAGGCTTACCTCGGCTTTGGTGAACGCCTCCTCGGCCCTCTTGGCCAGATCGTCGCCCAGATCAGCGCCACTGTCCGCCAGATCATCAAGGAGCTTGTGGGCCACACAGACAGACACATTGCCCCTGGTGTGTGTGCAGTGTATGTGCATTGTGTGTTTGTGTGTGTGTGTGTGTGTGTGTGTGTGTGTGTGTGTGTGTGTGTGTACGCATGCACACAGTTGGCTGCATACATAGGTGCAGTGTTCATGCGCCTGTGTGTGCCGCCCCGAGCAGACGACCGGGGCAGGAAAACGCAGCCGGCCGCGGCCCAAACCATAAACCCTGAACCCAGCGGCCCCCCAAAGCCCACCAGTTGAGCAGGCCCGTGCAGGTGACCTCCTTGAAGCGCTCCGCGGCCGACTCAAATATGGGGAGCGCCTCGTCGCTGCGCAGGGTGGCCTCCATGGCACGCGTCGTCGCGTCCCACCTGAGTGATTGATCGATGATTACGGTTTGTTTTGGGGGATGTTCAGGGGTAGGGGTGGGGG